GTAACCATTATTTTCTACACCACACCAAAGCTTCAATCATATGGAGTCTTACTCCTATCAAACTCTGAGAGATCCTACTGTGCTTACTGCCGGGGTATGGAGTCCAAGCTGCTGTCGCTCCCTCCCTCCCTCCCTCCTCCCTCCCTCCCTCCCTCCCTCCCCCCTCCCTCCCTCCCTCCCTCCCTCCCCCCTCCCTCCCCCCCTCCCTCCCTTCCTTCCTTCCTTTCCCTCTTTCTCTCTCTTCCTCTTTCTTTTTCTTCTTTATTTCTTTTTTAAATTTTATTGTATTTTTCTTCATTTCTTTTTCTTTCTTCTGGTACTGGGACTTGAGCTCTGAGGCGTGGTGCTGTCTCTTGGATTCTTGCTCACAGCTGGTATTCTATCACCTGAGCCAAACCTTCAGTCCAGCATTTTGATGGTTAATTGGAAATGGAGTTTCCCAGATTTTTCTGCCCTGGCTAGCTTTGAACTGTGATCCTCTGAGTCTCAGCACCTGAGTAGCTAGGATCGAGGATGAGAATCATCAGTGCCCAGAAGCTGCTGCTTCTCTTCTTGCTGATTGTAGTCCTGCCCTGCCGGCTGCCTTCCTGTCCTCGGGACCAGCTGATCCGGCCCACTGAGGCAGAGGTGAGGTCACCCCAGTCACAGTGGAGAGCAGGGTCTGAGGTCCACACCCTCCCTGCCCCCTTCTCCTCCCCCCCGCCCCCCGCTGCCCCTCATAAGCGCCTGGCTCCCTGTATGAGACCTGCACGGAAGTTTCCCTGGGAAATCTCATCGGTGCCCCTTGTCTCTTCAGCCCACTTTCCTTGGCACAGCTCTGTCCAACACTCACTGCTCCCGTGTTCTCTGCCTGCGTGTGGGATGGGTCTGCTCGTGGTCACTGCTCCCGTGTTCTCTGCCTGCGTGTGGGATGGGTCTGCTCGTGGTCACTGCTCCCGTGTTCTCTGCCTGCGTGTGGGATGGGTCTGCTCGTGGTCACTGCTCCCGTGTTCTCTGCCTGCGTGTGGGATGGGTCTGCTCGTGGTCACTGCTCCCGTGTTCTCTGCCTGCGTGTGGGATGGGTCTGCTCGTGGTCACTGCTCCCGTGTTCTCTGCCTGCGTGTGGGATGGGTCTGCTCGTGGTCACTGCTCCCGTGTTCTCTGCCTGCGTGTGGGATGGGTCTGCTCGTGGTCACTGCTCCCGTGTTCGCTGAATGCATCACATCTGCTACTGTGACTGAGAGTTCCCGAACACTCCTGAGTCCCTCTGACAGGCAGGCATGGCCCAGAGCTGCTCACCTCTGCGAGCCTCCTGTGATGGCTGTGGAGTGCTGGGCATAAGAGGGGAGAGAGCTGGGGCAGGGGAGCTGTGTGCTGTGACGCGCGAGTGGCACGCTGTCAGCCTGACAGAGCAGGGGAGGGGTGCAGCATAGAGGGCCGGCATGGAGCACACGGGAATTAGGAGCCCATGGCCTGGCGATGCAGAGCTTCCAAGGAGAGAAGGCCGGACTCGACCCGTGAAGATGCCATAGGCAGGGGTGCACAGGGGCGGAAGGCAGTTTGGTCGGGAGGAGGTCACCCCAGTCCTGCCCAGGCCAGCGGGGCAGCCAGCCAGCTTCGCCCCCAGAGGAAAATGGCTTTGTCCTCTGGGCTTACATGAAGCAGGATGGCTAAGGCCAAAGCCCCTTCCAGGTGGAAATGTGGAGGGGGGGGCTGAAAACAGATGTGTCAGTTCAGTTAACCCCTCCAGGGTTGCACACACGGGAATTCATGACGATTTTGTGTACCATCAGTGAGACCCTGGCCGCTGAGCCTCCTGGCCTGGAGGAGGCAGAGGTTCCCTCCCTGGCCTCTGCCACGGGAAGTGGAGATGGTTCTTGGGGAATGCAAAGCCCAGAAGGAGATATCTGTGTGCTGGGCACTGGTCGGAAATGTGTGACAAAGTTCTCAACATACAACAGACCCCAATAATCACTTAACAGTGTGACCTAGGCTAGCCACCAGTGGCTCACACCTGTAATCCTAGCTACTCAGGAGGCTGAGCTCTGAGGACAGTGGTTCGAAGCCAGTTTAGGCAGGAAAGTGAGACTCTCATCTCAGTTAACAACCCCAAATCTGGAAGTGGAGCAGAGCACCAGCCTTGAGCATAAATGCTCAGGGACAGTGCCCAGGCCCTGAGTTTAAGACTCAGGACCAGCACATAACAACAACAAGGAAGATGATGTTGAGGAAGCAGAGGGAACGGCATGGACAGCCTGAAGGAACGGCGTAACACAGGGGGAACGTGGGGAAGCAGAGAGGCTCCAGGAAACCCCAGTCATAACTGACAAAATGAGAAATTCAGCAAACATCCTAGAAAGTAGAACAAATGACAAGACTTAAAAGAACAGTTCACAGTTCAATCAATATCCGACAGGAATTAAGGGAAAAGAATGGATAAAATAGAGGGAAATTGCAGAAAAAATAGGACATTCCGAGTTAAAGCACGTTGGTTCTCAGATCAAATGGACCTACCAGGGCCCAGGAAAATAAAGGAAAAGGCAGGCGTCAGCAGCCCGGGGCACCAGGGCAGGAGTGGAGGTGGAGAAATGTAGATGGCTTCAAGACCCCACTGCTGCACTGGAACTAGGAGACATAGGAGCATGCCCTGATCATTTGACAAGAGGAAGGACTTTCAACCCAGGCCAAGACAACTTATGAATAAGATATGGCAGTAGACTAGTTATTTAGTAGAGTCATAATCTCAGATGCTTTTTTCTCTGGTGTACTCTTTTAGAAGGTTACTTGAGGGTGCACCTCAAGAAAACAAGGCAGTAAATCAAGAACAGAGGAGGCGTGGGGGTCCAAGAAAGAATGCAGCTCAGCAAGCCTGGAACAAAGATGGATAATGGAGTAAGCCCAGCTGGAGGAGCTGGTGTGAGAGAGATCAGAGCTCCCTAGGTACAAGAGTGTCCGCACAGGGTTGAAGTTGGATGTGATAGTGTTATAAGAAGGACACGAGAGGGCTGGGAAGGTGGCTCAGTGGTAGAGTGCTTGCCTAGCATGCATGAGGCCCTGGGTTCCATTCCTCAGCACCACATGAGCAGAAAAAGCCAGAAGTAATGCTGTGGCTCGCGTGGTAGAGCGCTAGCCTTGAGCAAAAGAAGCTCAGAGACAGTGCCCAGGCCTGAGTTTAAGCCCCAGGACTGGAAAAAATAAAAACAAACAAACAAAAACCGAAGAAGACCATAATGGCAAGAGGAGCAAGAGAAAGGAAGAAAGAGTTCAGGATCTCTGGGAGGAATGAATAGCAGTACAGAGGAGAAATGCAAATGTCAGAAATGTCAGGCTGCTTAGGTGCTAGCTAATCATGTCATGGTGATTTAGTTTTTGTTTATTCTGTGTGTGTGAATGTGTGCAGCAGTGTTTATGGGCTAGGAACCCAAGCTTGGTGGCCAGGCTCTCTACCACTGGATACAGAGCTACAGTCATTTTTGCCTTCATTATTTTCAGACTCAGGCCTCACTGTTATGTCCAGATTGTCCTGGGTTATCGACCTTTCTGTTTATGCTTCCCACATAGTAGCTAGGACAAGTGTTTGCAACCACCCCCAGATACTGGATGAGGTGGGGGTCTTGCTAACTTTCTAACTGGACTAGCCTCAAACTGCCTTCACCTGATCTCCATCTCAGAAGTAGCTGGCATTTCAGGCATGATCTACTGTGCACAGTTTGATGGTTCTCTGAGTTAACATCCAGTTTACTCATAAAGGGAAAGGACAGGTACTGGAGTGTATAAATGACACCTTTCTACCCAGATAGGAAGTCAACATAAATACATATACAGTTGGCAAGCCAAGAAGTAGCGTTGTAGGGCTGTCACGGAGGCAGGAGGGGGTCGGGTGTGTGGGGGTGTGGGAAGGGTCTCCTTAGTTCTTCATCAGAGCACTGCCTGGAGTTTTCATCTGGGCTCCACTTTATGTCAGTTGCTGCTTTGAAAATGAATAATGCTTTTTGGGCCAGTCTTTATGCCAGCATGACTGCTGTTACTATTCTGGTCCTACGCGAGCTCACGGTCCACAGCCTGTGGCTCCCTGACAATAGTTCCTGAGGCTTCACAGCTGCTCTGACCAGCAGCCTAGCAACATCACAACAAGAAATGAAAGACTGCACAACCCTGATGGGAAAATGTGCCTGTGTATTAGGCTGTCCTGAGAGATAGCGGTCTTCTCTCCTCCTGAGCCCAGGGTGGTGGGGTGGACAGCCAGGCTCCCATGCCTGGAGCAGAGGGACAGGGAGCTGGAGGTTGGGGAGGGGTGTCCAGTCTCCAAGCAGAGCTGCCTCAGCCAAGCCAGATTGCTCCCTGCAGGATTGGAGGCCATACCTGTGCCCCTGCGCACGCGCACTGAGTCCATACTCAGACACAAGGCGGTAGAGGAGAGCTGCCTCTCTGTTCAGCCGGTCTGGTTCACGCTCTGCCTGCCTGGGCAGGGCCAGGCCCGTTTCCTGACCTCTCTGGGCCCTGGCTGTGTGAGTTCAGTGTGTCAGGACACTTTGAGTCTCGTTGGATTACGATGATTACCACTTGTCATTACCGGTGTTGTGATAGAAATCATCTCAGCACACGCCCCTGTGAGAGAAGCACTGTGTGCGGTGTGTGCAGAGGACAGAGGTTGGCATCAGGGGCTGCTTCGCCCTTTGGCCATCGGCTCGCCAGCCAAGAGCTCACGCAGCCGGGGCAGCCGCTCGGGCCCAGGGCTCCCGGGGGCCACGGCCCGACTCCGGGAAGGCTGGAGCCGGGTCCTCGCGTGGGGTCCGCGGCCGCAAAGCTGCCCAGCAGCTCTGGGGCCGGGAGCGGACCCTGCCCCCTGGCAGCTCAGTCTCCCGGCAGAGAATGTTCCAGGCTGGCTCCAGAGGCCCCTGCTTTGTGCTGCGAGGGAGCAGCAGTGGAGAGCACCCTTTGTAGACTGGGCCTGTGCTCCGGCCGCCCGCTGTGCAGTGAACTCTCCTTTGCCCTTTTGAATAAGCCCCTGGCTTTAGTTTATGCGCTTACCGGCGTGGGTGTGTGCAGCTCGGGCAGCGGCCCGCGGGGCTCCATCAGCGGCCGCGGGGCTCCCTCAGCGGCCGCGGGGCTCCCTCAGCGGCCCGCGGGGCTCCGTCAGCGGCGGCCGCAGGGCTCCCTCAGCGGCCCGCGGAGCTCCCTCAGCGGCCCGCGGAGCTCCCTCAGCGGCGGCCGCGGGGCTCCCTCAGCGGCCCGCGGGGCTCCGTCAGCGGCCGCGGGGCTCCGTCAGCGGCCGCGGGGCTCCGTCAGCGGCCGCGGGGCTCCGTCAGCGGCCACGGGGCTCCCTCAGCGGCGGCCGCGGGGCTCCCTCAGCGGCGGCCGCGGGGCTCCGTCAGCGGCCGCGGGGCTCCGTCAGCGGCGGCCGCGGGGCTCCCTCAGCGGCCGCGGGGCTCCGTCAGCGGCCGCGGGGCTCCCTCAGCGGCCGCGGGGCTCCCTCAGCGGCGGCCCGCGGGGCTCCGTCAGCGGCCGCGGGGCTCCCTCAGCGGCGGCCGCGGGGCTCCCTCAGCGGCCGCGGGGCTCCGTCAGCGGCCGCGGGGCTCCCTCAGCGGCGGCCCGCGGGGCTCCGTCAGCGGCCCGCGGGGCTCCGTCAGCGGCGGCCGCGGGGCTCCGTCAGCGGCCCGCGGGGCTCCGTCAGCGGCCCGCGGGGCTCCGTCAGCGGCCCGCGGGGCTCCGTCAGCGGCCGCGGGGCTCCGTCAGCGGCCCGCGGGGCTCCGTCAGCGGCCGCGGGGCTCCGTCAGCGGCGGCCGCGGGGCTCCGTCAGCGGCCGCGGGGCTCCCTCAGCGGCCCGCGGGGCTCCCTCAGCGGCGGCCGCGGGGCTCCGTCAGCGGCCCGCGGGGCTCCGTCAGCGGCCCGCGGGGCTCCGTCAGCGGCGGCCGCGGGGCTCCGTCAGCGGCCCGCGGGGCTCCGTCAGCGGCCGCGGGGCTCCGTCAGCGGCGGCCGCGGGGCTCCCTCAGCGGCCCGCGGGGCTCCGTCAGCGGCCCGCGGGGCTCCCTCAGCGGCCGCGGGGCTCCCTCAGCGGCCCGCGGGCTCCCTCAGCGGCCGCGGGGCTCCCTCAGCGGCCCGCGGGCTCCCTCAGCGGCCGCGGGGCTCCCTCAGCGGCCGCGGGGCTCCGTCAGCGGCCCGCGGGGCTCCGTCAGCGGCCGCGGGGCTCCGTCAGCGGCCGCGGGGCTCCCTCAGCGGCGGCCGCGGGGCTCCGTCAGCGGCCCGCGGGGCTCCGTCAGCGGCCCGCGGGGCTCCGTCAGCGGCGGCCGCGGGGCTCCGTCAGCGGCGGCCGCGGGGCTCCCTCAGCGGCCCGCGGGGCTCCGGGGCTCCGTCAGCGGCCCGCGGGGCTCCCTCAGCGGCCCGCGGGGCTCCCTCAGCGGCCCGCGGAGCTCCGGGGCTCCGTCAGCGGCCCGCGGGGCTCCCTCAGCGGCCCGCGGGGCTCCCTCAGCGGCCCGCGGGGCTCCGTCAGCGGCGGCCGCGGGGCTCCCTCAGCGGCCCGCGGAGCTCCGGGGCTCCGTCAGCGGCCCGCGGGGCTCCCTCAGCGGCCCGCGGGGCTCCCTCAGCGGCCCGCGGGGCTCCGTCAGCGGCCCGCGGGGCTCCCTCAGCGGCCCGCGGAGCTCCGGGGCTCCGTCAGCGGCCCGCGGGGCTCCCTCAGCGGCCCGCGGGGCTCCCTCAGCGGCCCGCGGAGCTCCGGGGCTCCGTCAGCGGCCCGCGGGGGTCCCTCAGCGGCCCGCGGAGCTCCGGGGCTCCGTCAGCGGCCCGCGGGGGTCCCTCAGCGGCCCGCGGAGCTCCGGGCAGCGGTGCCAGCGCAGCCTGGTGGCTGTGAGGCCCGGGTGGGGGCAGGGCGGGCTGGCCGCTGCCCCGTGGCGCTGCTGCCCCGTGACGCCGGCCCCGTGACGCCCCGTCACGCTGCTGCCCCGTGACGCTGCTGCCCCGTGACGCCGCTGCCCCGTGACGCCGCTGCCCCGTGACGCCGCTGCCCCCGTCACGCTGCTGTCCCGTGACGCTGGCCCCGTGACGCCCCGTGACGCCACTGCCCCGTGACGCTGCTGCCCCGTGACGCCGCTGCCCCGTGACGCCGCTGCCCCGTCACGCCGCTGCCCCGTCACGCTGCTGCCCCGTCACGCTGCTGTCCCGTGACGCCCCGTGACGCCGCTGCCCCGTGACGCTGCTGCCCCGTCACGCCGCTGCCCCCGTCACGCTGCTGCCCCGTCACGCTGCTGTCCCGTGACGCCGGCCCCGTGACGCCCCGTGACGCCACTGCCCCGTGACGCCCTGTCACGCCGCTGCCCCGTGACGCCGGCCCTGTGACGCCGCTGCCCCGTGACGCCTCTGCCCCGTGACGTCGGCCCCGTGACGCCGCTGCCCCGTGACGCCGGCCCCGTGACGCCGCTGCCCCGTGACGCCGCTGCCCCGTGACGCCCTGTCACGCCGCTGCCCCGTGACGCCGGCCCCGTGACGCCGGCCCGTGCTGAGGCAGACGGCCGAGGAGGGTGGCCAGTCCCCGGCTGGCCTGGGCGCGTTCTCTTGGCTGCATCACTCTGCGCCCAGCACCGAGAGAGCAGGAGTGGCAGCCCGCCTTCCCCGCGGGACAGCCCGCCTTCCTTCCCTGCGGGACAGCCCACCTTCCCCGCGGGACAGCCCGCCTTCCTTCCCTGCGGGACAGCCCACCTTCCCCGCGGGACAGCCCGCCTTCCTTCCCTGTCCACAGCCCGCCTTCCTTCCCTGCGGGACAGCCCACCTTCCCCGCGGGACAGCCCGCCATCCTTCCCTGCGGGACAGCCCGCCTTCCTTCCCCGCGGGACAGCCCGCCTTCCTTCCCCGCGGGACAGCCCGCCTTCCTTCCCCGCGGGACAGCCCGCCTTCCTTCCCCGCGGGACAGCCCACCTTCCCTGCGGGACAGCCCGCCTTCCTTCCCCGCGGGACAGCCCACCTTCCCTGCGGGACAGCCCGCCTTCCTTCCCCGCGGGACAGCCCGCCTTCCTTCCCCGCGGGACAGCCCGCCATCCTTCCCTGCGGGACAGGACGCCTTCCCCGCGGGACAGCCCGCCTTCCTTCCCCGCGGGACAGCCCGCCTTCCTTCCCCGCGGGACAGGACGCCTTCCTTCCCCGCGGGACAGCCCGCCTTCCTTCCCTGCGGGACAGGACGCCTTCCTTCCCCGCGGGACAGGACGCCTTCCCCGCGGGACAGCCCGCCTTCCTTCCCTGCGGGACAGCCCGCCTTCCCCGCGGGACAACCCGCCTTCCCTGCGGGACAGCCCACCTTCCCTGCGGGACAGCCCGTCTTCCTTCCCTGCGGGACAGCCCGCCTTCCCTGCGGGACAGCCCGCCTTCCCTGCGGGACAGCCCGCCTTCCCCGCGGGACAGCCCACCTTCCTTCCCTGCGGGACAGCCCACCTTCCTTCCCTGCGGGACAGCCCGCCTTCCCCGCGGGACAGCCCACCTTCCTTCCCTGCGGGACAGCCCGCCTTCCTTCCCTGAGGGACAGCCCGCCTTCCTTCCCTGCGGGACAGCCCACCTTCCTTCCCTGCGGGACAGCCCGCCTTCCCTGCGGGACAGCCCGCCTTCCCCGCGGGACAGCCGCCTTCCCCGCGGGACAGCCCACCTTCCTTCCCTGCGGGACAGCCCACCTTCCTTCCCTGCGGGACAGCCCGCCTTCCTTCCCCGCGGGACAGCCCGCCTTCCTTCCCTGCGGGACAGCCCGCCTTCCCTGCGGGACAGGCCGCCTTCCTTCCCTGCGGGACAGCCTGCCTTCCCCGCGGGACAGCCCGCCTTCCCCACGGGACAGCCTGCCTTCCCCGTGGGACAGCCCACCTTCCTTCCCTGCGGGACAGCCCGCCTTCCTTCCCTGTCCACAGCCCACCTTCCTTCCCTGCGGGACAGGACGCCTTCCCCTCGGGACAGCCCGCCTTCCTTCCCTGCGGGACAGCCCTCCTTCCCCGCGGGACAGCCCGCCTTCCTTCCCTGCGGGACAGCCCGCCTTCCCTTCGGGACAGCCCGCCTTCCCCGTGGGACAGGACGCCTTCCCTGCGGGACAGGACGCCCTCCCTGGGGGACAGGACGCCTTCCTTCCCTGTGGGACAGGACGCCTTCCCTTCGGGACAGCCCGCCTTCCCCGCGGGACAGGACGCCTTCTCTGTGGGACAGCACGCCTTCCCTGCGGGACAGGACGCCTTCCCTGTGGGACAGGACGCCTTCTCTGTGGGACAGGACGCCTTCCCTGTGGGACAGGACGCCTTTCTTCCCTGTGGGACAGGACGCCTTCCCTGCGGGACAGGACGCCTTCCCTGCGGGACAGCCCGCCTTCCCTGTGGGACAGGACGCCTTCCCTGCGGGACAGGACGCCTTCCCTGAGGGACAGCCCGCCTTCCTTCCCTGTGGGACAGCCCGCCTTCCCTGCGGGACAGGACGCCTTCCCTGCGTCCGTGATGGTCTCAGGCGCGTGTGAGCACGAAGGACGGCTGACCGGTGGCGGTTGTGAGAGTTAGCCGTGCTGGTTCACAGCGCTGGTCTCGGTTCTGTGGCGTCATTACAGAAAGAAACACATTGCAAACAGGAGCGGGCGGCACTCAGAGTCGCCGCTGCCTTGGCCCGCCTGTGCCCTCTGTGCCCAGGGGCCCGCGGGGCGGCAGGTCCCCGGGCCTTGGCCTCTGGAGTGCCCCGGCCAGGGCACGGCCGCTGTGGCTCAGGCCCTGTGAGACCCCGATAGCTCAGGGCCTAGGATGGCAGGATGAGCCCTGACTGTGCAGAGACAAGAGGCCGCAGCTTCCCGCCCGCAACATCGGGCTGGAGAGAGATCAGCCGGACGCGGCGACCCCGTCAGAATCCCGCCCTGACACGGCGGCCTGTGACAAGGCCCTGTGCCCAGCTCCCGATGGAAGTGCAGGCACACACACAGGTGAGCGGCAAGTGTAAGGTACCGTGTACACTCCAGCCTACGGGCACACACACAGGTGAGCACCAAACGTAAGGTACAGTGTAAACTCCAGCCTACAGGTACACACACAGGTGAGCACCAAACGTAAGGTACCGTGTACGCTCCAGCCTGCAGGCACACACACAGGTGAGCACCAAGCGTAAGGGACGGTGTAAACTCCAGCCTACAGGCACACACACAGGTGAGCACCAAACATAAGGTACAGTGTAAACTCCAGCCTACAGGCACACACACAGGTGAGCACCAAGCGTAAGGTACCGTGTACGCTCCAGCCTGCAGGCACACACACAGGTGAGCACCAAACGTAAGGTACAGTGTAAACTCCAGCCTACAGGCACACACACAGGTGAGCACCAAACGTAAGGTACAGTGTACGCTCCAGCCTACAGGCACACACACAGGTGAGCGGCAAGCGTAAGGTACAGTGTAAACTCCAGCCTGCAGGCACACACACAGGTGAGCACCAAACGTAAGATACAGTGTAAACTCCAGCCTACAGGCACACACACAGGTGAGCACCAAACGTAAGGTACAGTGTACGCTCCAGCCTACAGGCACACACACAGGTGAGCGGCAAGCATAAGGTACAGTGTAAACTCCAGCCTACTGGCACACACACAGGTGAGCGGCAAGCGTAAGGTACAGTGTACGCTCCAGCCTGCAGGCACACACACAGGTGAGCACCAAACGTAAGATACAGTGTAAACTCCAGCCTACAGGCACACACACAGGTGAGTGGCAAGCATAAGGTACAGTGTAAACTCCAGCCTACAGGCACACACACAGGTGAGCGGCAAGCATAAGGCACAGTGTGTGCTCCAGCCTACAGGCACACACACAGGTGAGCGGCAAGCGTAAGGTACAGTGTAAACTCCAGCCTACAGGCACATACACAGGTGAGCGGCAAGCGTAAGATACAGTGTAAACTCCAGCCTACAGGCACACACACAGGTGAGGGGCAAGCATAAGGTACAGTGTACGCTTCAGCCTACAGGCACACACACAGGTGAGCGGCAAGCGTAAGGTACAGTGTAAACTCCAGCCTACAGGCACACACACAGGTGAGCGGCAAGCGTAAGGTACAGTGTAAACTCCAGCCTACAGGCACACACACAGGTGAGCGGCAAGCGTAAGGTACAGTGTACGCTCCAGCCTACACGGATCTGGGCATTCGAACCTGGAGAAACCAAGAACAAGGGCCAGCTGTGAACACTTGCAGTAAGCATTGCGGAGCATCCTGTTTGGAGGGAGTTGTGTGCTGGGTGTGGCGTTTGAGCAAGGCTCAAGATTCAGGGTGTGTGTGCATGCTTGTGTCTCTAGCCAACCAGTGTCTGCCTGGTGCGGCTGCCCGGCACAGGCCCGTTGGGATGATGCCTGGGTGGGCATCCGCTCCCTGGGGGGCAGGCACGTCTGTGACCCGGAACCGAGGCCTCCCTCAGCACGCGAGGGTCCTGGCTGACACCATCAGCACCTACGTGTCATAGGGCCGTAAGTCATAGGTCTCGGGTGACACAGGCCATCACCAGGTTTGAGATGGACATCTTGTGCTTTGTCTTGGACTCAGGTTTTGTCATCCATCCACATCTTATACTAAGAAACATAAACATGGAGAATCCAAGTGGGCCTTGGCCTGGCAGAGAGAGCGAGGTGCACGTGAGTCCTCAGGGCACAGCAGGGCTGCTCGGCACCGCCAGCCTCAGCTTTGCATCTGCTGGCAGAGCCTTGGGGAGTCGAGCCTTGGGTCCGTTCAGCCTCCACGGCTGATTTCCAGCCTCCTGTATTAGCAGCACTTTGAGACGTGTTCATGTGACCTGGTTCTAGCACATTCCTCAATCAAAGCCTCGCTGTGCTGTTCCATGAGCTCCCACCAGCTGGCTTGAAGCAAGCAGATGTTCTTAATAAATGTCAGAGCCTTGTCCACACTGAGAAATCCTAAAAGCAAATACTAGGGTTTCCATGATGAAGAAGAAAGTTCTTCTATGCCTG